TGCCCGCCTGCACCCCGGCCCTGTGCCCCAGCAATGCCTGCAGTGTGCCCGCCTGCGCCTCGGCCCTGCCCGCCTGTGCCCCAGCAGTGCCTGCAGTGTGCCCGCCTGCGCCCAGGCCCTGTGCCCCAGCAGTGCCTGCAGTGTGTGTGCCCGCCTGTGCCTCGGCCCTGCCCGCCTGCACCCGGCCCTGTGCCCCTGCAGTGTGCCCGCCTTCGGCCCTGCCCGCCTGCACCCCGGCCCTGTGCCCCAGCAATGCCTGCAGTGTGCCCGCCTGCGCCTCGGCCCTGTGCCCCAGCAGTGCCTGCAGTGTGCCCGCGTGCGCCCCGGCCCATCCCCCCTTCGCTTCCCCATCCCATCCCCCTTTGCTTCCCCACTATCCCCTGCTGCATCCCCCACCCCCTACTCCCCCATCCCTTTCTTTTCCCCCTGCCCTATCCCACCCTTCCCCACTGTCTCTACCCCCCAGCTCCACCCTGCCCCCCTTGGGCACTCATCATTGTATAGGAAACAGGTGAGCACCAGGATCCAGGAGGTGGCATCCAGCTACCCAGGTAGCAACCCAGGAGCCCACCCTGCTTCCCGCCCTTGCTGCCAGCTCTGCGCTTGTAGAAATCGGGTTGGGGTGGGGGAATGGCACATGACCTTGTGTGCCCCACATGCCTTGCCTCTGTTTGGGGGGGGCAATGCCCCCTCTGCACCTCCCCAAACTACACCCATGGGCAAGAAGGTATAACAAACAAAAAAGATGTAGTAAGGTGCATTTTATTTTCAAAAGTATATTAAATGGAAAGTTGTCACAATTAAATACAGTACAGAACTCTTCCTTTATATTGTAGGGGTAAGGCTTTAGAGGTGTGATACCACAGATATTTAAGTTAGCTAGAAGACTTAGTCCTGGGGGGAGTAAATATTGGGTAAACTTTTCAAACCTTTCTGCAAAGATCTTATTCCTTCCCTTAGCTGTCTCCTAGAGTGGGGCTCACAGTAACTTAGATAGATGCCTTTAAATTATTCCTCAGCTGACAGTAAACTAGACAGTGTACTTGCTAAGCATCTCAGGGTAATAACTTAAAGGGATTGGTCAAGTTTGATTGAGGACAAAGCTGAAATGGAGCGATGAGAAACTCTCCAAGGATATTGAGAGTACACGTCACAGGTTAAGAAGGCAGAGTTCCTCCTCAGTGTTTTCCCCCAAAGAGGCCCCAACCTTTATTATCATTTTTTACTCTCGTGCATGCTCTTCCATGCAGGGCTTCCCTGTCTTTAACTTAGTTTCAGGAAGTACCAGAGTTACATGATTTATGTTGTATATTTTGAACATCTCTAAATTTCTCAGTCATGAGCCTCACAAATTATCAGCGTGTTCCACCATTTCGTGACATCATCTGTTAATTCTCTCCCCTTATGCATTTTTAAAAAACTATTGTACTAGTTCAAAGGCCATGGGATGAGCCTATCAATCTCTACACCAATCCTAAAGCTGTTGTAAGTCTCTCTAGCTTTTTGGAGGCCTGAGAAGTCAGAGTAAAAGAGTGGGAATTAGCTCATTTTTAAGAGCTATCTTTCTCTCCCCTCCCACCCTTTTCCCCCGATATCCCTGAGCATTTTAGTTGGATCTTGGTTTCTTTCTCTGATTTCTCCAATACATCTGACTTTTCTCTGTCAGCCTGTTGCAGATTCATCATTATTGATCTTCCAGACTTTAAATGGCTGGAAGAGTGGCTATTTTGTGCTGCTCAGGGTTGGTCTCTAAGGGAGTAGGCAATATTATCTGCTTCCAGAACAAAAGATTTATTGTTTGAGAGGAGACTTGTCCCTATAAAGATTAAAAAAATCTGAGGAGGAGGAATGAAAATAGTGTTCAGAGGAAATGAAGGATCACGTTCACTCAGTACCTTAAAGAATGTTGCTGGGGAATTGGGCAGATTCTGGTTTGTCACAGGAAGGGTATCACTGCATCTTACAACAGCTGGTGCACAGAGTTTGTTAGATGTGTAATTACTTGAGTTATGCATCTCATGCTACAATCTGGTCTCAGCTAGTTACAGTTTTTACAGGAAAAAGTCTTTAATTTTCTCTTAGGTGCTGTTATTAGCCAATGCACATTCCTAGGGCGTCTACTTAGTATTGTAAAGGAATGCCTGTTAACATTTTTTACTTCGATTTTCACGTAGGGTTCCACTACATGAAAGTTAATACACGTACATTTGGGGGGGGAAAGGTTGCACCATTTGCATAGTGATAAGTACTGCCAGAGACTGAGACTAAGGCTATGCCTAGACTACCGCTTATGTCAGTATAATTTACATCGCTCGGGGGTGGGAATAAGCCACCTCCCTCAGCAACATAAGTTACACCAACCTAAGCACCGGTATGGACAGCGCTTTGTTGGCAGGAGAGCTTCTCCCACTGACATAGCTGCTGGTGGATTAATTAAATTGACTGGCGAGCTCTCTCCCGTCAGCTTAGAGCGGCTCCACTAGAGATCTTACAGCGGCACAGCTGTGTGGCTGAAAGCTCTCTGGAGTAGCCATAGCCCCAGCTGAATCCTAAAAGCCAGATAAAGAGGGGAAACACCCAGGAAAGCATTATCAAAGTTATTTTTAAACAGTGTTTAGATTTGTTGTTGCTCTTTGAAAGGGAGGGCCTTGAGGGGAGGCTCCAGCACACCTTTCTCTCTGGCGTCCCGGTTTGGACTCAGAAAGCTGGACAGCCAGTGGGTACTTTCCTGCCTTTCTGAGAGTGCTTCCTCCCCCTCGTCAAAGGCAAAGTAAAGTTTTCAACTAGCCTGGCTACAGCCATAGTCCTTTGGAAGCTTCCAACAGAATGAAACAAGGCTGTTAGTATCAGAGGGGTAGCCGTGTTAGTCTGAATCTGTAAAAAGCAACAGAGGGTCCTGTGGCACTTTTAAGACTAACGGAAGTATTGGGAGCATAAGCTTTCGTGGGTAAGAACCTCACTTCTTCAGATGCAAGTAATGGAAATTTCCAGAGGCAGGTATAAATCAGTCTGGAGATAACGAGGTTAGTTCAATCAGGGAGGGTGAGGTGCTCTGCTAGCAGTTGAGGCTATTAGTGAATTTCTGCTCCTTCCTCCTCAGAATGGTGTAAAATAAAGTAATGCCCATCCTGTAGCAAAGCTGGAAATAACCTCAAATCCACCAGGAGACGTGCAATCAGGCCAATTGTGTTTCCTTCGTTGGGGCAAACCTTTCCCCTCATCTGGTCACACTGGGTTGCTCATCCATTTGTAGGAACAGACCTCTTCCCTAGAGGTGATCTGGGAAGGCTGAAAGGCTGCAGCTGCTTCCTAGATCTGCTGATTAATGCTCGTCTCCTCATTGTGGAGCTCCAGGGCTTTCTGACCTGACCATCCTCCTGTCCCCCTGAGGGCCTATACAGGTGGTGTACCCTGTCACAGGCTTGTGTTTTAAACTTGCATTTCCTAAGGAGAAGGCAAATTGCTCAAGTTTCATCATAAAAGTTCACATTCTTAATAAAAAGGAAGAGTTTGTACCAGTGGGCTTCAAAGCTTTACATTGATTGAGCACTTGTGACTTTCTGGAGTGTATGAGATGATGTAAAAAACTACAAGTGACTGTGAAATAACTGCACAGTTGTGGATAACTGCACTGGGTGTTACTTTGGGACTTCCGTGCTTAGTGTATTCTTTCTGTTCAAAACACAACAGTTTGCATATTGGTTTCTGCGCAGAAGAAATATGGAATAGAAATAGAAGGTAAACGAGTTTGTTGACCAACAAAAGTTAAGTACGATTAAATATTTTCAAAATAGCTGTCTTGGAATTTTATCAATACATCTGAGATTTCCACGTACATTAACTTCTTGAACATTAGAGTTATTTCAGATTGGAGCTTTCCATTCAGGACCCTGGAATAACACCTAGCCAATTTTAACTAAGCAATAAAAATCTTGATAGGTCTTTGAAAAATAAATCTTACCAGTGCAGATCATGCTGCTTAAACCAGCTTCATGCAGTCTTTCTTCTTACAAGGACAGACTTTGTTAAGAATGGTTTTCTGTATTTAATTTGTGTAGAAAATAATTACAGCAGTAGAGGGGATTATTAAACTGCTGCTGACTGTAAAAATTAATTAGTGCTCAGATTCTGCAGATCACCACATTCCATAGTGAAATAAATTTCCTGAATGTTGAGTACATTTGCTCTCAAAAATATATTGAGATGGTAGTTAGAATGGAAAGCGATTTACAATCTGCAGACATTACATAGTCCTTATGACCAAATTCCTAGATCCTGAGTGTTAAACAGATTTATTGTTAAAGTAAAGGCAGATATTACATAGCTCAAGGGTTCTCAACCTTTTTCTTTCTGAGGGTCCCGCAACATGCTATACAAATTCCACAGCCCGCCTATGCCACAACAACTGTTCTTCTGCATATCCGGTAGGTTAAAAGCCAGGGCCAGCATTAAGAGGTAGCAAGCAGGGCAGTTGCCCAGGGCCCCACGCCATGGGCTGGGGCCCACAAAACTAAGTTGCTTGGGCTTTGGTTTTAGCCCTGGGTGGTAGGGCTCGGGCTTTGGCTTTCTGCCCTGGGCCATAGCAAGTCTAACGCTGGCCCTGCTCTCTGGTTTATTTGGCGGGCCCCCTGAAATCTGCTCATGGCCCCTCTGGGGGCCCTGGACCCCTGGTTGAGAACTGCTGCCGTAGTTTACAGTAAGTGGGTGTGGAGGTACAAAAGCCTTTCATCAGAAAGACAGCTGTGTTACAAAGCAGATTCTTGTAGCTGTCACTTTGCATAAACAATAGTTATTTTCTGTATGTTTTCCCTTATCCAGATCAGAATATTTTTATTCATCTTTAATTTTACTCATGTTTGTACGTATCTTGAGACTAGATTTCCAGCCATTGCTGTTACTTTGGGGGGAGAAAAATTGAGTAGCCATGTTTTTATTATGTAAATTTTTAGCCTGGAATGCGTTTGTTACTGAGGAATCAGGGTGCATAAGGGCTTGTCTTCACTGCATTGTTAGTCTGACCTATAAAGATTTCCTCATAACCTGATTCCCATCCACACATAAGTCTGTAGCTCAAGTTAAGAGATGCTTTAAGCTAGAGATAGCTGGTTCATAAGGGGGTATGGGTTGAAGCCGAAGTGCTGCTGACACTGAAGTTTATAGTGCACAGCGGATGCAGCAACTTGAGTTACAATTCATCAGCTGCTAATACAAACACCGTGGGTATATCTACACAGCATAAGAATATAAGAACGGCCATACTGTGTCAGACTAGTGGTCCATCTAGTCCAATATCTTGTCTTCCAACAGTGGCCAGTGTCAGATGCTCCAGGGGGAATGAACAGAACAGAGCAACTACCTAGTGATCCATCCTCTCTCGTCTAGTCCCAGCATCTGGCAGTCAGAGGCTTAGGGATACCCAAAGCATGGGGTTGCGTCCCTGACTATCTTGGCTAATAGCTGCTGATGCACCTGTCCTCCAGGAATGTATCTAATTCTTGTTTTTAATCCAGTCATAGTTTTGGCCCTCACAATATCCCCTGATGAGTTACACTGGTAGACTCTGCATTGTTTGAAGAAGTACTTCCTTTCGTTTGTTTTAAACCTGCTGCCTATTAATTTCATTGGATGACTCCTTGTTCTTGTGTTATGTGAAGGGGTAAATAACACTTCCTTATTCATTTTCTCCATCCTTTTCATGATTTTATAGACCTCCGTCATATTTCCCCTTAGTCATCTCTTGTCCAGGCTGAACAGTCCCAGTCCTTTTAATTTCTCCTCATATGGAAGCTGTTCCATGCTCCTAATCAGTCAGTTTTGTTACCCTTCTCTGTACCTTTTCCAATTCCAATATATCTTTTTTGTGATGGGGTGACCAGAACTGCACACAATATTTAAGATATGGGAATAGCAAGGGTTTTTATAGTGGCATTTTGATATCTGCTGTTTTATCTATCCCTTCCTAATGGTTCCTAACATTCCATTTGCTTTTTTGACTGCCGCTGCACATTGGATGTTTTCAGAGAACTATCCACAATGACTCCAAGATCTTTCTTGAGTGGTAACGGCTAATGTAGACCACATCATTTTATATGTAAAGTTGGGATTATGTTTTCCAATGTACATCACTTTGCATTTATCAACATTGAATTTCATCTGCCATTTTATTGCCCAGTCACCCAATTTTGTGAGATCCCTTTGTAACTTTTTGCAGTCAGCTTTGGATTTAACTGTCTTGAGTAAATGTGTATGGCTGCAAACATTGCCATCTCACTGTTTACCCCCTTTTCCAGAACATTTATGAATATGTTGAATAGGACAGGTCCCAGTACAGATCCTTGGGGGACCTCCCTATTTACCTCTCTCCACTGTGAAAACTTACCATTTAATTCCTACCCTTTGTTTCCCAACTTTTAACCAGTTACTGATCCAGGAGAGGACCTTTCCTCTTATCCCATGACTGCTTACTTTGCTTATGAGCCTTTGGTGTGAGAGACCTTGTCAAAGGCTTTCTGAAGGTCCAAGTACATTGTATCCCCTGGTTCATCCTTGTCCACATTTTGTTGATCCCCCTTCAAAGAATTTTAATAGATTGATGAGGCATGATTTCCCTTTACAAAAGTCATGTTGACTCTTCCCCAACATATTGGGTTCATCTGTGTCTGATAATTCTGTTCTTTACTATAATTTCAACCAGTTAGCATGGTACTGAAATTAGGTATACTGGCCTGTAATTACCAGGATCACCTCTGGAGCCTGTTTTAAAAATTGGTGTTACATTAGCTGTCCTCCAGTCATCTGGTACAGAGGCTGATTTAAGTGATAGCTTATGTACTGCAGTTAGTAGTTCAGCAATTTCACATTTGAGTCCCTTCATAGTTCTTGGGCGAATACGATCTGGTTCTGGTGATTTATTACTTTTAATGTATCAATTTGTTCCTCCACTGTTGACAACTCATTCTGGGACAGCGCCTCAGATTTGTCACCTAAAAAGAATGGCTCAGGTGTGGGAATTTCCTTCACATCCTCTATATCAGTGAAGATCAATGCAAATAATTCATTTAGCTTCTCTGCAATGGCCTCGTCTTCTTTGAACGCTCCTTTAGCATCTCTATTGTTCAGAGGCTCCACCGATTGATTGGCAAGCTTCCTGCTTTGGATGTACGTAAAAAAACTTTTTTGGTGAGTTTTTGTGTCTTTTGCTAGTTGCTCTTCAAATTCTTCTTTGGCCTGCCTATTTATACTGTTACACTTGTCTTGTCAGAGTTTATGCTCCTTTCTGTTTATCTCACTAGGATGTTACTTACAATTTTTAAAGGATATCTTTTGGAATCTAACTGCCTCTTTTACTCTATTGTTCAGCCCTAGTGGCATTTTGGGGGGGGGGGGATCCTCTCACTACCTTTTTTTATTTGGGGTACACATTTAATTTGAGCCTCTGTTACGGTGTTTTTAAAAAGTTTCCATGCAGCTAGCAGGCATTTCGCTTTTGTAACTATTCCTTTCCGTTTCAGTAGCTTCCTCATTTTTGTGTAGTTCCCCTTTTTTGAAGTTGAATGCTACGGTGGTGAACTTCTTTGATATCCCACACACCCAGGAATGTTAAATTTAATTACATTATGGTTTCTGTTACTGAGCAGTTCAGCTATATTCACCTCTTGTACTGGATCCTGCTAAATCAAGAGTTACCTCTCCCCTTGTGGGTTCCAGGACTAACTGCTCCAAAAAGCCGTTATTAATGGTGTCTAGAAATTTTATCTCTTATCCTGTCCTGAGGTGACATGTTTCCAGTCAACATGGGGATATTGAAATCCTGTATTATTATTATTGTTTTTTTATTTTTGTAGCCTCTCTAATCTCTGTGAGCATTTCACAGTCACCATCAGGTGGTCGATAGTACATTCCTACTGCTATACTCTTACTATTCAAGCCTGGAACTTCTATCCATAGAGATTCTATGGTACAGTTTGAGTCATTTAAGATATTTAGTATATTTGACTTTATGCTTTCTTTCACATAGTGCCACTCCCTCACCAGCACAACTACTCTGTCATTCCTATATATTTTATACCTTGGCATTACTATGTCCCATTAATTATCATTGTTCCACCAAGGTTCTGTGATGCCTTTTATACCAATATCTTCATTTAATACGAGGCACTCAAATTCACCCATCTTAGTATTTAGACTTCTAGTATTTGTATACAAGCACTTATAAAATGTGTCAATATTTAGTAAGCGCTTGTATACTAGAAATCTAAATACTAACATGGGTGAATTTAAGTGCCTGGTAGGATGCTTCCCAACGCCAGTAGACTTACATGCACTTGTTCTGCTTGAGGTAGTGGGCTAAAAACAGCAGAGTGGTCATTGGGAGCTTGGGCTAGCCACACGAGAACATACGCGGGGGCCAGGGGGGATCATGCACAGGCAGCTAGCCTGAGCCACTGCAGCCATATTTGCTGCTTTTAGCACACTAGCACGAGCAGAGCTAGCATGTGTCTGCCTGCCCACACTGGGAACATGTACCCAAGAGGAGTTTTGTAGTGTGGTCCCTTTCACTCACTAGGCTAGTTCCAGTGGACTAACTAGAGCAGGGTTTTATTTTTTTGTCAAGGTCCACATTTCCTAGTCAAGGTCCAGACTCCAGAGACACATTTTTCACACTGAAATAATAGTAATGATGATAATAAGTAAATAAAAAGATTTCACAGTCTGTTCAAAAGCGTCTGGATTTGGCCCATGGTCCGCCTACTCACCACCCCTGATCTAGAGAATACTAACTTGAGCTAACTGTTGCTGTGAAGACAGGCCTTAAGATTAGTGCACAACCTTAGCTGCTGTATAGTATGTTTACAATCTAGAAGTATGCAGTGACAGCATGTTTTTTGGTTTTTTTTATTATAGAGCAGAAAACCCATTAAGTATGCATTCCTTTCTGCTCTGACTTGTCCTCTGCTGTTGTTGCTTTCTTGAAATGTCTCCTTGGTCTCAAGAGAGCCAGGGTCCCAATTAAATTCTGAATAGCTTATGACCATGTGTAGGGAATGCTTTAGTCTGAAATAATTAAAAAATAAATAAATCCAGACATAGGTGCTGCCCTTTTGAAAAGTTACAGGAAGTAGTGTGTACGACATGGCAACTAATGTATATATCTGCATTTCAAAATGTTGTTTTACATAGAGATGTGACTTTCCAGACTATTTCCCCTCCACAAATATTTTCCCTGTTTGTCTCTGCTTTTTAAAATGTCTATTCCCTCGGTGGGAGTATGTGCACAGCAGTGTGTGGGTATATTAAATACCAGCATTCAGAGATTCAGGACGTGGGAATGATGCTTTTCTGCTGTATCTTCCTCTGTTCCACTGCAATTCAGAGACCAAAATATTCAGAATATTGTCATCAAAGCCACTTTGGGTCCCTCGATACCTAATTTTGATTTTCAACTCAAGGCTGGAATTCTCTAGATGTAAGGGCTTGTCTACACTTACAGTGCAGCATCGGCGCAGCTGTGCCACTGTCGCACTTGGTGCAGCTGCCTATGCTGACAGGAGAAGGCCATCCGTCAACATAGCACTGTCTGCACCGGGGTTAGGTCGGTATAACTACGCTGCTCTGGGGGGTGGATTTTCTACACCCTGGAGCGTCTTAGTTATACCAACATAAGTTCCTAGTGTAGACCAGGCTTAATTATCATAAATTGCACCCTGGTAGCTAGCTGCCTCTGTACGAAGCATTCAGGGGAGCCAGAATTTCACCCAGGATGCTTAGAAAGTGCTGCTAGGAGTAGGGAGGGCCAGGAATAGTATTACCTTTTCTCCCCTGGCAGCTGGCTCCCGATCACCAGGCCTCCTGAGACCCATCAGACTTCTCCCATGTCCAGCTTCCTTTTATTGCTATGATGCCAGTGTTCATCTGGTTTCTTTTCTTCCCTCTTTTGATGCTTTACTGACTTTCTACTCGTCTACAATCTCCTGCTCTCATCCTGGCTGAATTCAGTTTCCATATTGATAACCCAGCTGGTTCCACTGCCTGCTGCTTTCCCTTGCTAATCTAGTTTTTGAGATTCATTTTTGGGCTAACTCCCTTGTTCACTTTTAATCCCTCTTGAACTTGGTTTTTTTTGTTTTTTTTTTTGAATAACCAAACACTGTTATTCCCTGATCTCATTGTCTTTGCATTCACTTTCTTTGACTACCATGAGCCCTTTGGAGTTAGAATGAAGCAGACTTATTTAGCGTGTGGAATTTTTTTTAATCGACTTAAAATCTACAAAAGCAAAGGAACGTAGCAGGGACATTTTTGCTAATGAATATGCTTCCTTTGCTCTTCTATGATTTGTTTCCAAATGAATGCTTTTCATTTTTCTTATTGTGCTCTACAGTACAGTGCCATATTGTGTGATCATGATCATTTTGATCCATGAAGGACATTTACAACCAAATTAGTTAAGATGCAAATGACCAGTACCACACAGCAGCTTATTCACTCTGATACACAATCTAAGAACAAAATCTAGCCCTGAATGTCTGTGCTGTCCGAGGTCCCAAAAGCTGTTTTTTAATCTACTGATTGGACGTCCCTCTTAATGTGACTAAATATAAAATACTCCTGATTATGCACAAACTGTCCGAATAAGACAGCTTTTTTTACAGAATGAAAAATCGGAGTTTACTTAAATGCTGATCATCATTTCTACTGAGGAATTTTTTTTATCAGTAGAGAATGTGCTCAGGTATATGGAAAGCTCATTATTACTGAATTGGAAGAATTGTAAAGTTTGGAGAAGAATTAATTGTTCTATTGGTGAAGTAGTATTTGTGGTGTGACAAGATTAATAAACGAGGTAAGAGGGCAGAATGGTCTTGCAAATAGTTTTGAAATGATTTTATTGATAGGTTACAGCTGTGGAAGATTTAGGAGTGTAACAAGGGAAATTAGAAATATTACAACATAATATGAAACGAAATTAGTTTGTAGATTAAATAACTAACTTTTTAAAAGTAATCTCTCTAATTTGCATGAGACTCAAAGATAAAATAAATCATTCATATAATTGCCATGAACAGTTGTCCTAAGATTAATTGTTCATCTAATGTAGATTTACTGCTTGTCATTTTCAAAAAAAAAAAAGGGGGGGGGGCGGGGGGAGAAGCAGCAGCTTGAAAATACAAAACTTTAGCCCAGAAGTATGGGCTTTTGTTTAGTTCAGGTTCTAATAAACAGATTATTTAACTGAATATTCTCTTTGCACACCCAACACACCTATTAATTCAGTAGGACTTTGGGATGTATAAGGAATGCAGGATTTGAATGGTAGCCAATATATCTTGTATGCATTTCAAATTATGCTTTAATGGGTTGTTTTAATATGTTTGATTTGTACTGGATTCCCTAATGACTTAACTAGGATTTTAAGAATAAACAGGTCACTTTTCTATTGCTATTATTTTTTTAGTATCTATTTATGGACAACTTTTTATTTTGCAGAAATTTACAGGAGCTCAGAATATTTTCATAATGGACTTTTTAGCAGTCAAACGAACTTTCCTCAGAAATAACTTATTTTCATTTAAATAAGACTTAAAGTAACATATTAATTTAAATAAAATATTAAGATAATTTTTTTTAAATCTGCTGATACAGGGCCCAGTTAAATTAATAAATTGTCATTTGTCTAGGTGAATTAATTACCCTACCTTTTGAGAAATGGACCACTAGATCAATAGTATTGGAAGATAACAGTATATGGCAACGATCAATGCTTATTTTGTACTTTTAAAATCTAGTAGGAAAGACTGAATTTAAGAATCCAATTTCTTTATGAGGAAGTAGTTTGTTTTGAATTTAGTTGGTTAATGAATAGCTATATTTGAATGGTCTCTTTCAAGGTCAGCACACTGTGTCCCCATTTTTATTTCATTTTCTTCAAAATGCATACTGTTTTAGTGTATGTGGTTTATTTTAGTAAGAAACAATAGCAAATTCAAATGACCTATGTCAGCTCAAATTTAAAGACATGCAACCCCACACTAGGATGTAAATAAAAATAGGCTCGACTTCCATTACTTTGGGCAAAAGCCTGAGAGAACAAAATTTATCCTGTACCCTGAAGGTCAGCAGACTTAGGAAATGAATTCAAGTCATATACCTTCCTTTTGACAACACTCTGCCCCCTACACCAGCTATTCACATCTAGGGGCTCTGGGAGAAGGCAAATCTGTTCAGCAAATACTATATAGGTGTAGCCCTGTAGTGTCAATGCAGCATACAGCAACAGAAAGGGTTTTTTCTGTCCTGTAGGAGCATCACCTCCCCAGACAACATTAGTTACAGCAACGGAAGCACTTTTCCATTGGTATGGCTGCATCTATACTGGGGGTTATGTCAGTCAGAAACTTGGGGGGTTTTACTCCCCTGGCTGATGTAGCTATATCGATGTAATTGTAGACCAAGCCAGAGAGGTAGAGTAGATCAGGTCCTGTCAGTCGCTATATGGCACCTTCTCTTGTACAATGTAGGGCTTTAAAAATCAGTACCAGCACCTTGAATTGCAGCTAAAACCAAATAAGGAGGCCGGAGCACTCCCTGGATACTGATTTAATATGCTCTCTGTAGCTAGCACAATTAATAAAACAGCTGCTGTATTCTGCATCAGCTGCACTTTCTGAGCGATCTTCAAGATATGACCCCTTGTGTAGTGCATTGCATTAATCCAGTCTGTGGGTGACAAGGACGTGAATAATTGGCTAGGTCTGCATGAGAAAGAAATGGTCACCTTTGTACCAAATGTAGTGGGGGGAGGCATTTTTGGCCACTTCAGCTACGGGTGGATCTGGAAGCACAACCAAAATTGACAAAAGGTGGGAAGGTCCTTTCAGTTATCGGGAGACATTCTCCTGCCACACTTTCTAAATGTCTTATTATATGTAACCTATAGGATTCCTTACTAAATTAAGATATGATCCTCATTAACATTTTAGGCAGGCATTAGAATAGCACTCTTCAATGGGCTGACTTTGTCCTCAGATTTTCTTTAGAGGGTGCATATATCTTGGAATGTGTTTATTATTTACCATTGTCACGTACCTGATGGATGGAGAATATCCCTCCTTTTCTAGAGGCTGTTTGTAATCTCTGCTAGTGATATGGAAGAAGTCCTCTGCCGATTATTTTTAAACATATCAATGTATGTTGTGTGGTACCTATCATTACTTCTCCCCAAGTACCTCACCTTGTGCAGTCCAGGGACAGAAGGTGGAAGTCTGCTGAGATAATTGTGGGTTTCTTAAAGAAATCAACCTTTTTAAGTCTTTATGACTGATTCTTTCAACCTGAAAAATAAAAATAATCTTCACAATTTTGCATCTTCCTCCACAGGCTGTCTCTCGTTACCAGCGAATAGGAGTGGCTGTCGCTATACGAACCTGGCATGGGCTCTACAGACTCATTGTTACATTTCTGCTCCATGTAGCGTGACAATACAACAATGCAGGCAAGGCAGCTTTTTCAACAAATGTAAGTCTTGAAAAAAGACCACTTTTTATATAACACGAGCAGTTTGTCTAACTCTCTTTTGTTTTTTATATTGACTCTGTCAACATGAAAATCCCATTTTGTATTAACGTTTTGCATCTACAATAGTTACAAACATCAACTAAGATTACTACAGCTGAAAAGCTAGTGGGGGACAGGAAACTTTTTATTTTCTTTTCTTCTTTTTTCCTCCCTCCATTTACTTTGTACATTTGACAGTGCCTTGTTGATAGGGTCAGTTGAATAGTTTTCCCTATATAGTCAGGGTCCAGTCCAACTCCCAGTGAAGTCTTTGGATTTTTTTTAGTCAATTAAAAAAACAAAAGATGACAATATCCATCTAATCATCTGCCCAGCTACAACATTAGATCCCAACCCTGCAAAGACTTACACATGTGCTTAACTGTACACAGTGAATACTTCCACTGGAGCCAACACAACTGCTCGTAGGGCATTAAGTTAATCTTGCACAAGTGTTTGCAGGATCGGGTTTTAAGTAACTGATTGGCTTATCTCCATTCTTCTAATTTATACACACTTCCGCTGGTAAAAGGATGTATTTATTTTAAACTGTTTTAAGTGAATTAATATGACAAAGATGTAGCATAACAAGCTATTACAGTGTGCTTATTTTGTGAATTAGATATTTTCTTAGTTGCCTACATATTGATTCCATACAAATCCATGAATAGATGTTTTCTAGGATAGAAAGTTTTTCACCAGCAGCTATTTCAGTCTTTAGGTGACTGGATTAAAAAAACCCACTGTTTTTATGACAGCTTATTGTTTGACTCTGTACGTTCTTAAACAAACTGAACTTTGACCATTTTTTAAAAATAATTAAACTAATTAGTATCGAGTAAGGGATAATCTCTTCTTGACTCACAAGAATTTAAGCATACAACTTCTTCAGGCATCAGATGAAACAGAAGCTGTTGGGTGCCTCTGATAGCCAGCATCCAAAGTTGCAGTCATTCCTACAGCCCGGCTGGCTGCATAAAATATGAGGGGTAGCTACATGTGTGGGTGTCGCATGAGATGCAGGAAGTCTGGTGATTCTGTAAAAAGTGGTGAATTGAGTTTTTAAGTTGGCCCTGTCAGTTTGTAAGACCCTTAATGCTGTAGGCCCTGGGTACATTGCAGAGTGCCTCCCTTTGCCTCTTCCAGAGAGTTTCCTGCATGTTAGGGATGCTTTTGCTGCTATTTATATCATTGGGCTTTCAGTAGCATGTCTTGCTGTGGTGAACTTTAGGGCTTGACACTTCCTCTCCTTTCATATTCATCCTAACCCATCTCTCCTCTCTTTTAAAATGTCCCTAAAATGTTCTTTCTGGAAAAGAAAGTAGACGGCTGCTGATCCTGTAGTTCTCTCCCTCTAAACCTTTTTGCCTCTTTCTCTTTAGAAGACTTCCTTGATTAGCTTAATCAAAACACCTTCAACATTCAAACTGATGTGCTTTGTATATTTAACATTGTACAGTGCCCAAGTCCTTTGGCAGTTCAGGTGTATTAAAAATAATATTAAAAATGCAAATATGAACACTTTATATAAAACACACTTTTCAAGTGAAATGTCAACCGAAATGACTGTCAGTGCTGTTCTGTCTCATCATTAAAGGGTTACTTCTCTCACCACATATTTTTAAAAACATTAACTACCTAGTAGCAAGATCATTTGTACCTCCAGATTGACCTTTAAAAATAGTAATTCCAGTTAAGAGGAATTGCAATTATCTTAGACAGCTTGAAGTCCAAATCCAGACAGCTGGATATCCCTTTCTGATCATACAGCATTTAGGGTTTTTCTTCCTGTCCACTGGCACATCTCAGTGCGGTTTATAATAAGGTAATTTTAAAAGCTGTGGTGTGTTGTCCCAAGTTTTGCCTTTTCCTCTTGGAAAGCGGTTAGGTCTGATTTTCAAATGTGCCTAGTGATTGTGCTTGTCCAGCTTGAGACATTCTGGAAGCGTCTGATTTTCAGAAAGTGCTGAACCCCTTCCCTCCGGAAAGCAGGGCCCTTTTCAGTATCTTGTGTTGGGCACCCAAAATTTGAGCCACTCTAGATCAGCAGTCTCTGAATATAGTTCTTTACCTAGCCATCATGGCTACTGGGACGTAGGTCAGTGCAAGGCACTCAATAGTCTCTGGTTCCTCCTGTACTGTGGGTTGGCTGTGTGGATTCTGAGCTTAGGTTACCACCATCCTGTCTGTCAATGGATAGAATCTCTTTAGGAGGATGTTTGTAATCCTTTGAAACAATTTGTTTTCATACCCTTAGACATCAGTAAAAATCAGAGTCAGAGGTTGCCTGTAGCTATCACGCTCATTACTAAAATGTAAACTTGTAGTTACAAAACTGAGTCTGTTTATTCAAAATAGAAAGAGAATTGTCTCAACAAAGTTTTAAAAAATATTCCTTATGGGCCAAAATCTGTGTGCTTTATACGTTGGAGTTCATAGATAGTAACCCTTCTTGTTGGTGCCATCTGGATACCAAATGGAAATCATTACTTGAACACAGTTTGCTTTTATAATAATTACAAGGCATAGACTAGCCTGGGGTCGCAACCTGCGGCATGCGTGCCAAAGGCGGCACACAAACTGATTTTTAGTGGCACTCTGCTGCCAGCCGGGATCCTGGCCGCCGCCGCCCCCGCTCAGCCCGCTGCCGGCCTGGATGGACGGAACCCCAGGCCGGCAGCGGGCTGAGTGGGGCCGGTGGCTGGGACCCCGCCTGGCAGGGGCCAGCAGACAGAACCCCAGACCGGCAGCGGGCTGAACAGCTCAGCCCGCTGCCGATCTGGGGTTCCGTCCGCTGGCCCCAGTAAATGTAAAATGTATTACTGGCACGCGAAACCTTAAATTACAGTAAATAAATGAAGACTTGGCACACCACTTCTTAAAGGTTGCTGGCCCTGGTCTAGCCATTCTTGGAGCACAGTTCTGGCAACAATGAGGAGAAAGCCTGGCCCAGTGATTAGAAACCGAGACAAGGGATCAGGAGTACGAACGGCTGTTTGACCTTAAACAAGCCACTTACCCTCTCTCTGCCTTAGTTTTCCCATCTGTAAAAGGAAGGGAAATAATTTTCACCTACTTCACAGGGGTATTCTGTGATGCTCAGTTAATTGTAAAGTGCTTTCAGATCTTTAGGTGAAAAAAGCTATAGAAATTCAAAATATGATAGTAATTTAAGTATTAAAGCTGAAGTTGATTATATGTGAGGAAAAAGTTCAAAATTTTGTCAGGCTGCATCAAAAGCAGATTGTTCAGAAACAAGGTTGCTTGGTATGGTCCCAATTCTGTACGTTATTACAATGCGTGGGCAGACCCTCTTGCACCCACATGGAGCTCCGCTGATCTCAACCCAACTTCTGCTATAGAGAATGTGATCTAGTTGGTCACCACACATACACATTCTGGAACGGCCCAGAGACCCAAACACTCTGGATGCACACAAGCGTACAGAAAAATCTTTGACATACATCAATAAAAGCTCAGCCTGTTACATTCTGGGGGTCACTTCCCCCGGCAGCTCTTCAGAACAGAAAAGAGTGATCTTTAACAGCTGCAAGCAAATGCATTCCTACATCATAGTCCATGAAGAAAATTCTACAACTGAATCGTGATCTCAGACCTTGTATTTTCTTTAACAAGTCACAATTCTAATATGATTGAGAATTGGTTCAAAGACCAGAGGGCTTGAGCTGATGGAGCCTCAGGCAGCAGAGACAAGTAACTGCAGCCTAAACACTAAAACTACTTGGCAGTACACCCAGAGAGAATATCAACCTGTTATCCAGAATTATACCTGTGCAGAGTGACTTCAGCTCCAATCAGCCATACCCCTTCAGTTGCTTCAGCAAACACATCTTCCACATCTGCTTATGTATCAAAGTATAATACTGCAGTGAACACTCGCGTATAACTGTGCTACATTAAAATGCTCTGTCACCCTTATGGGATATGGGAAAGGGGAAAACTTAAAGCTTTTCCTTACTAGAGTATACCACCCTCCTAGGCTATGTAATACATGAGAAAGGTGGCCACTTCCATTGTTTCTAAATCAAGTGGGAATAAATCAGTCCAGGAACATAAAATTATATTGAATATACCAATCGCTGATTCAGGAGGCTGTGCTAACTAAAAATAATTTTATTTGGTATAAAACTTGGCATTTGGCTTCTTTCTAGAAACATCAGTTCACATATCTACTTTTTTATTAGATTATACTCTAAATATCTCCTTTTCATCCAGATGAGTTTTCTTTGTCCTAGTTCTTTCATTTGTGTCTGACCCAACTTAAAAGGAACAGAATCTGGGAAAATAGTAATCATTCCTTTCCATATTAAAAGTGGAAAGTTCTTTTGAGAACAGAGCATCTCTACTCCAGATGCTCTTAAATTGCTCCAGTTAGGAGAGAGACAGTTACTGACTACTTTTATCAGTAATAATATAAACAACTACATTTGTTCAACACTGAAGATCTCTAAAATCAGGAAAAGCCAGAGTTAAATTTCAACAGTGATGTTTCACAACCTGCCTGCTTTGTTATGTATATTGATTTAAATGCTATATGTTTAGTCAGAAAAACAGGAATGGGGGGAAAAACCCATGTTTATAGCTGAGTTAATTATGCTGTTGGAACCTTGAACTTCCTGACTGATTTTTAACTATACAAGCTAACTTTGTGTTAACAGTTCAGTGCATTTCAGATTTTTTTAAAGAGGAAAAGGACCCGATTGGCAGACCTAACTAATGCTACAGTGCCCAAATCCCCTTATTGGTGTCAGGGAGGTCACTTCCTTGTCCCCCTTTATTTAAAAAAACAAAACAAAAAAACACCTTAACACTGGAAAGTTTTAACCATCTTTTTTTGTAATGAGGTCAACCAGAGTGACCTTCAAAGTATTGTACCATGAGTACAGCATCCATTAGTGAAGTTCAGGATCCGATTTTCTATTTTAAGCTGCTATTCAGAA